GAATGCTGAGTGACGCCTATGCTTGGGGTAAGGTCGCCACCTGGGTGTGTAATAAAGCGTTGACAAAATTGCGTGGCTCCTAGTTAACCATTGCCCCTGGTTAACTGCTGCTTGGTGGCAGCAGTTAACCAGGGGCAATGTGTCGACTTCATATCTACTGAAAGAAGGTGGCACAAACATGAATGAGATCGCTATCGCCGTCGAGCTTAGAAACCATGCGTCCACCTTCGTCCTTACGGACTCAATTGTAATTACCTATTCTAATTACCTAAAGCCTATTGTAATTACCTTAAAGGCGAAAAAATCAGTCCTCTAGCCTGCAGAATACGTTCACAAGTAGCATTCCGCTGTCCTGAGGCAGATTGGAAGCAAGTTATGTGGATACCTGGCCACAGTGTAGTCAGAGACAACAAGCTAGCTCATGCCTCAGCTTGAGCTCTCTACCCCAGGATTTCAACTTCAGTGCAGAGACTCCAGTTCTTCCAGACCAGATGGCCCACCTGACCACATAGAATGAAGTATTACAAAACGAAAGGCTTGCTCACAGAATATATCTTCACTGCATCCACAAATCAGTGAAGCTGCACAGGTAGCCTGGCGCCACCTACAAACGCTATCATATTCCAACTCACACGTACCCTGACAAGTACCCATCACCCACATGTAGGCTATGCTACACTAATCTAGCTAAACTCTATCACAGAACATGGGAGTGCCAGAGAAACACATCTAAAAGAGATGTCTTTAAGAATTTCTGTATAGATGGGCGGTAAGCGGACCTGTCCAGCCCAGACCGAGGGGTGCAAAGACCATAGTGACCCACGCAAGGACCAGGGCGCAAACCAATAGGGTCCTAGACTAGATACTCAACTCATTTCTCAATAGGTGTAATAAAGTTTTTATCATAACCCTATTGAAAATGCGCTAAATTAGACGAACACTGATGTTGCTTTCGTCAGCTCCATCGGGACGACTCACTTATCTCCCACAGTCTGGTACACTCAAAATTGTTAAAGACCAATTTTTAAACAAAACATCAAGGTTTCAAGCATCCTACTCCAAAAAACTACAATTCACCTCATAAACCAGCTCCTAACTTCGAAATTGAAAGCGCGTTTTGAAGGTTTTTTTTTTCAAGGGTGAGGAAAGCTTCTATTCAAACATGAGCTTTCTATTCAAAATAATTCCGGAGCACATTTGCCCGCGCATTGCCGTTCCTGTTCTTGTGACGCGAGGTTTTCAAGCGTTTCTGTCCTCGCCAAAAGCCCAGATGCTCTGGCCTGTGAAATAATGGAAGCGTTCTGGATAAAGAAAAAAAGGTGACTTGTGTATAAGTGACACGTCAGCCGTCTTGTGCAAGTCGGAGTTTGATTTTTGCGCTTCGTTGCTTGATTAGATATGCCGGTTGAACGTCCTCAGATTATGTCTGTGGTCATGTGACTAGGTGAAGTAGTGTGCGGCTATATATTTCCTGCGTTTCTCCTGCAAATAAATCAGTTGCGAGTTGACGCTCTTTCTCTGTGAATATTTCTTCCTGTGGTGCTTTAGGCGTCTAGAATTACCCCTCAGTTGAGACAGGAAGCAGTTACCACCATTAGGATAGTCATATTTACTTCAATTTATTCGTTGTGACTTCACGTTTTTGAGTGCGCGAGAAAGTCGCGCTTTTAAAAGCGAATGCACTTTATAAGCGACCCTGAATCTGCCATCTGTTGTGCGCTTCTCCTCTCCCCTAGCAATGGTGCGAGGAGCGGAGAGGAGCGTCAGTACCAATGGTGTATCGACGGTGCACCACGTGATTGCGCGTGCTTCGCCCTCCGCTCCATGGCTGCGCGCGCCCGCGCAACCACGACTTGCTCGAGATCGGCAAGTCGTCATAGGTATGGATTTATCGCAGGCATGAACCTCGACTGCGATACCTCCAACAACGAGTACAACGCAATCGAATGCGAGCATTGCACGCGTCAATAACGATGTCGCGCAGATTCAAGACAAGGCAGCGTAGCGAAGGGCCCGTAATGCCGAGCGCAAGCGGGCGAAGCGGGCCGCCGACATACACATCATTATAGTGCGAAATTACTCTCACATATACGCGTGAACTCACATAAGATTTCCCAAGAGGGTCTAATGGTTCCTGGGAATTGCAATTTGATCACACGGGGGAGTTTACGTTAACTCACTGGCGAATTCTAACAGATTTTCACTTTACTTCCCCTCATAGCATCACCCCGTGCATTCGCACTTAACGATGTTCACCCTTGGGGAAATGCTTGGGAGTTTTTTTTCTGTGCACTTCAAACGCTAAGCGGCATCTGCGTCTACAGGAAACGTTGATGGTGTGCTCCCGTCACTTTCCATAGTGTTACGAGACGCGCGCCAGAACGGACGGAGTGCTACATGTGCAAAAGCTCCACCCTTCATAGCTTTCCCTTCACTGCCATGAAAAGTTGTCGCCGAGTATAGCAAAGGTTGCCAGCACCTCTAGTATCACCTATCGTTGCGCGCAGCCGTTTTCGAGGAATCGTTACCCTGGTGGCTTGATGCTATCGCCTGAATGCCGCAGAGCTCACCTGTCCTAGCGCTTATTTGTAAGAGAAATGAGGCTCTATTACGAAATATACGCTTCCCGACAATGCTTGTCACAGAGGAATAAGTAGTCCTGGGCCCACCGCAATGCGTCAGCGTCTAAGTGCCTGAAAGTGCACACATGACTACTGCAAGACCGATCGCTGAACTGCGTTGCAGATTGTTATCACCGTGTGCCAGCTTCGGAGGCGGGCCGCGTGGCACCGCATACGTCACTGGAATAACGGAATAATAGCGGATGTCACAGTCATCATAAATTATTGCACTTTACCTAGAACGCTGTCAGAGAACCTTCGTAAATAATAAGGTGCATTTTTCAAGCCTGCAAACTACGTCGCCGTGTCATGGCTTGTGCTGTTGCGCACCCAGAGTTCAGACGTGCGGCTCCCGGAATACACATTTTTCTTTGTCCTTTGATCGTGCGTATTTCGACGTAATTTCTGTGATGGGCATGCATCACTAAAGTCTCCGTGGGCTTGTCACAAAAGGCATTCACGTTAAAATACTGACACATCCTCTCAGAAAAAGGAAAGATACAGACGACACTTTTCAGGAGTAGAAAAACTCTGTGCAAGGCCATTGAATGAAGGCATAAAGCTAATGAAAAAAAAAACAGAAAATTGAAAAATGAACGAATGGATAAATTTTATTTGGTAATTTAGAACGTGCTTTAGCACGTTGTGAGCCGTCCCACGTTGGAACTGAAAGACCAAGTCTCTCTGCTACGTGACGGGCCCGGTGAACTGCCAATACCTTTTCTTCGAGTGCGGAGATTGCCATAGCATCCTCCCGTTTGGACGACGTGATGACTTCGCCACAGCGTGACGCAGGCTACCGCAAGAGCATATGTTCCAAGTTAGCTATATCATCACAGAAAAAACATGTAGTAGTTCGCGATAGTAGTACTTCGCGATAAATTTTGTTCAATAGCACGGGCTTAGGGTACATCCTGAACTAAAAAACCTAAGTGTCAGAGCCTGAAGTCTGCATAGTATGCATTGCCAACTCATGTAAAAAAAAGACAAAAGTGGACATTAGGTTGATAGAATTGAAAAGTATACTGTTTACAACCGCAAAAATAAACGAATCGAAAGCATCTAAGAAACTGGCTAGACCTAAAAAACCCACAAATTGTAAAAGCAACAGCAAAGATATATTTTTTCTATTCACTATGATGTCGTCACTCCGATTGACGATGATGGTGTCTAAATCATTCTCGGATATGCTAACGTCTTCACTATCGAAAGTAAATTCAAAAGCTTTCTGTCGTGGTATTGCAGGTTCCCATTCATTCGTCGCATCGCCGTCCCTAGCAAAACTGAACTACACCTGTTCTATCGTGCATCTGTGGTCTCTGCGACAAACCCTTATACAGCATGTCTTAGGCAATCGTACTTCAAGTACAAAGTGTCCTTGCACGCAATTTTTATAGCCGTCAGTTGCATAACTTCACAAAAAACGAGGAAAACTACACGCATATTCTTCTCCATATCTCGGGCCCCCAGCTTTCCCTACGCTGCGAAGCCCTCTTCAGTGCCCGCGGGCACTTCTGGCGCGGCCACGCGGCCGCTGCGGTGACATATTAGGCTCTCACTAGAGCATTATAAAAGAGCTCTGTGGTCGAAAATGAATGGAAGGGCTCTGGTACTACTCCATCTCGAGGCCTATTTGCGCGGCCATCGTGGTATAGTGGTTTTGGTACGCTGCTGCTGAACCGAAGGTCACGGTTTCAAACACGACCGTGGCGGTGGCCTTTCCGTGAAGGCGAACTCGTAGATGTCCATGTACCATGCGATGTCAGTGCGTGGTAAAGAGCTCGAGATGATCAAAAGTTTCGGAGCCTTCGAGTGCGGCGTCATACATAATCATATCGTGGTTTTGGCGCATAAATATTTTACACTTAATTGAAATATTGTTATATTGTTATTATTAATAATATTATTACCATTCTTACTATATGCACTCCCTTTCTTGAAAGTTCGGCAAAGATTTTCCCCCTTTCTCTTCATGCAGTAGTGTTTTATCGTAGGCCAGAAAAAAAGTGCAGCTCACTCAGATTGAATCTTGAAATATATTTGGCCCTTGGGACTTATTCAGGCTGTTATTGATGCATCTTTAGGAGAACACTGATTTCAGCCTGGGATTTCATTGAAAATGTGCGTGGGAATAAAGTTTTTCTTGTTATGAAACTGCACTATACAACTCAAGTAATTCATTTATTTGTGGGGTTTAACGTCCCAAAACCAGCATATGAATATGAGAGACGCCATAGTGGAGGGCTCCGAAACTTTCTGCCACCTGGTGTTCTTTAACATGTATTCTATGTAACTCAGGTAGTTAACACGCTATGTTAATTAGCGTATTTTGGTGTCACAGAAGCGCTGATTGTAACGCTTGAAACGCTTCACTTGCAGATTCTGAAGAAGATATGATGGAGACAACAACAGAATTTGAATATGAGGGTATGTTGAAACGGAAACGTTTTTTCGTCTCACACCTACATCTTTTGGTCTTTTTATTACTTTAGGCCCGTTTACATTGACCCGACGAGGGCGCGTTGAATCGAACTAAACAGGTTTTCTGGACTCGCCCTCCCCATGTATAGGCGGACGCGTCGGGGCGGAGAGTCGTCGCAGCGAGTCCCGTCGACCCGGAGACAGGGGGTAGGTTCATCGAACTCGCCGCGCTCAGAAAGGGCATGTATAACCGGTCGCGCTGAGTTGACGGCTCGTGACCTCTCCCGCCCGTCGCGTTCTCCGCTTCCCCTGTCCCCATCACTCCGACGTTGCTATTTCTCTGTCGGCCGGTACGCGCGCGCTAGGCATGATGCCATCCTCGTGGGCTCCACGCACCATGTGGACAGATGATGAAATAACGACGTCGCTAGCTTTAGTCAACGAGAAAAAAACTGAGTGATTTGCTCGATAGCAAGCGGCAAAAAAATAAGGACATATTCATGGACCTGGAAAGATGTTTGAAGGAACAGGGCCTATCGTGGACGTGGGAGCAAATAAGGACCTGTTGTAAGAATTTGAAGTACGCTTCACGGCTGTAAGTACCTTCCTGTTCGCTTTGATTCGAAAAGTTTTCAGGCGCTTTAACAGAAGCACTGCTGCCATCGCGTTGTGCAGTGTTAGCCAAGACACCAACACAACCATAAAGTACAGCTGGTGCAAACTGAGAAAAAATACCAAGACAGCCATCGCGATGGCGGAGTGACAACTGCGTAAACAACCGCAGCCCACAGCGGCGAGAGCGCAGGCTTGGAGGAGCGAAAACCGGTACCGGAAGATGGGCTTTCGGCTCGCCTCGACGCAAAGCGTCGCTGTGATCACCGCTCACCTCAACTCGTCCGTGCGAGTTCATATAAACTCGGGCGCGTCGAGGTAAGCTGAACCCGCCACTCAACTCAGCCGCCCCCGTCGCGTCCATGTACACGGGGCTTTTGACAAATGGAGTCAGCATGGTTCCTTAAAGCATTTTGCTTTGTATGTTTTCTGTCAGTTGTACACAGTACATATATATATTTGTGCCCTGTACTTGCAGATAAAGGCCGCTTTTACAGCGTAAACGTCGGAATAAACTGTGGTAGAACTTACAGTGTTGTTAAAGACCTTGCTTTATATATATATATATATATATATATATATATATATATATATATATATATATATATATATATATATATATAGTTCAAAAAAATCAAGCACGTAGGAAAAATTGTTTTGTAAAGGACTGACGTTTCGGCCGCGGGACCGGCCTTCGTCGGAGTGATGTGAACATGAGACGGTAACGCAATATAAAAAGGCCAGTAACATATCATAGTGCTGTTAATGGCTGACAAGCGGTTGTTAAAAGCACGTGGGACACAGTGCGCGTGATAAGACAAGAAAAAAATGAGATTTCAAGCGTGCGAAGACGAAACGAATAAAAAATCAATAACAATGAGTAAAAAATTGAGGAAAAAATTATGAAGCCACATAACGTGTGTATTACTGGCACAAACATCAATACACGTCATAGGTACAACTGCGAGCAAGTTATCGATAAACAAAAACGCGGGTATAACATCTTGTCATGATCCGACAACGAAGCTGAAACAGGGAACTAATCTATCTGCGTGAAAGCATAGCGGCAATAATAGCGGTGGTAGTCAAGGGTGTTTAGAAAGCTAATTGGGTAAAAATGAAAGTTTGCCAGCGCTTTCATTCATACCACAAGTGACGGCTTTAAACTTATAGAATAAATACGATTCTCAAAGTTCTCTTTCGTGGTGGGAACGGAAACCCGATTGAAGGATTGTAGCTGTAATACTATCAAATGAGTGGCCCGGAATGTGCACGTGTTTTGATAGCGGAAGGTTAGTAATGGTGGCAGCATGACATTTGTGGTTGTTAAAGCGATGTCTGAAGGGCGTTTCAGTTGGTCAAATGTACTGTAATTTGCAGGCGGAACATTCGAGCAAATAGATGCAATTGTAAGTGTCACACGTAAACTTTCCTTTAATTTTATAGAAGAAATCAGAAGCAGTGCTTTTAGCAATGTGTGACGTCGTCATATGCGCGCAAACCTTGCATCGTGGTTTTTTGCAAGGTCGACAACCAACATTATCGGGAACCTTTGTTTTAGATGAAGTTAGAATGTCATGCAGATTGCGAGACCGTCTGAAGACTACCCGAGGTGGCAATGGAAAGATTACTTTAAGATGAGCACTCTGCGCTAGTATGTTGAAATGTTTTTTTGAGAATTGAGGAAACGTTCGGCACCGATGCTGAGTGTGTTAGAACTAGATTACTTTGTGCCTGAAGGGATGGTTGCTTTTTAGCGCTGAACAAATCCTTGCGATTCAGCGCATCGGCTCTTTTGACGGCGTCCTCAACAATGCGGGGTGGGTATTCCTGCTGAATCAAAGATTCGCGGAGTTCTGCGCAGTTTGCATAAAAGTCTGACTGCTCAGAGCAAATTCTCTTAAAGCGGAGCGCCTGACTGTACGGTATACTGGTTTTCCATTGTTTAACATGTGAACTTTTGAAGTGAAGATAACGGTGCCTGTCTGTAGGTTTCCTGTAAAGCCTAGTGGTTAGTTTGTTGTCAGAGATGCAAACTGTGACGTCCAGAAAGTTAACGGTAGAACGAGAGTATTCATGCGAAAACGAAATAGATTGGTGAACAGTGTTGAAATCCGCTATAAAAGATAAAGGTTCATTTTCACTATGGGGCCAAATAAAAAAATGTCATCTATAAATCGCTTATAATAAAGAGGTTTTAACGCGCGGTTTCTCATAAAATCATTTTCCAGAAGAGACATGAAAAGGCTAGCGTAATTAGGTCCAATGCGAAGGCCCATTGATGTTCCACTTACTTGAAGGTAGTGGGAACCCTCAAATTCAAAATTATTAAGCTGTGAGAATAATTTCAGTTAGGTAGCTAATGTATCACTTCCAATGGGCTTTTCATCAGATAATTCTTCGTACGCTTGAATTGCTGCCTGGATGCCATCGCTATGGGGTATATGGGTATACAGTGAAACCACATCTAATATCACGAGCACGGAATTATCTGGTATCACGAGTTCATCAATGTCCAACAAAAAATTATTTGTGTCTTTGAGATAGAACGAGAATTTACATGGAAGGCTACTGATTATTACGTCAACGCAGCGGGAAAGTTGCTCCGTAACAGTTCCAATGCCCGAAACAATGGGGCGTCCAGGACAGTTTTCTTTATGTATTTTGGGCAGAAAGTAGAACCTGCCAGGGACGGGACTGAGCGGGACGAGGGAGCGTACTGCCTTGTCGCCTAATTAATTAGCTTTTACGAGATCGTTGATGGTATCTTGTACAACTGCTTTAAACTCTTCAGTGGGATCATATTCTAGGTGCTTATAAAAAACCGGATTGTTAAGCTGTCTATGGGGTTCGCTGATATAATGCGTTTTATTCATTATAACAACGGCACCACCTTTGTCGGCTGGCTTTATCATGATATCACTGCGTTTAGCCAGTGATGAAATAGCTTTCCTTTCCTCAAATGAAATGTTTGATTTAAACGGCTTTTGCTTTTCGTAGGCTTTAAGCACGTCGCGTTGGACGGCTTCAATATACATATCTAGATATTTGTCACGTTCGTTGGATTCGTTGGATCCCGGTAACACATTTCAATGCATGATGCAGACTGTACTAGCTGGACTAAAGTGTCAGACGTGTCTTGTATACTTGGATGATGTCGTTGTGTTTTCAAGCACGTTTGACGAGCATCTTTCAAGGCTAAAAAGTGTCCTCACTGCAATAAGGAGCGCGAACCTTACCATCAAGCCCGAAAAGTGCTACTTCAGCTATCAGGAAGTCAAGTGTCTCGGCCACGTGGTGAGCCCGCGGGGTGTTTGACCAGATCCGGAGAAGTTGACTGCCGTAGCAGATTTTCCTCGTCCTGCAGACAAAAAGGCTGTTCAGCGATTCCTCGGACTCTATTCGAACTACCGCCGTTTTGTCGAAGGATTTTCAAAAATTACGGAACCTTTTACAAGACTGACACGGCCAGATGTGCCTTTCGTATGGACGGAAGAACAACAACAAGCCTTCGTAGAGCTACGCAATCGACTGCAGACAACTCCAGTGCTGGCACATTTCGACGACACTGCCGACACCGAGATCCACACAGACGCCAGCAACGTAGGAATCGGAGCCATTCTAGTTCAATGGCAGAACGGCGCAGAGCGTGTGATCGCTTACGCGAGCAGCAGTCTCACAAAAGCAGAGGTTAATTACTCTACCACCGAAAAAGAGAGCCAAGCAGTCGTTTGGGCCATTAGCAAGTTTCGACCCTACCGATACGGCCGGCCATTTCGAGTGGTCAGTGACCACCATTCGCTCTGGTCCCTTTCCTATTTCATCCTCAGAAAATAAGTAGATAATTGTCGCAACCGACTATCTGACTCGCTATGGAGAAACGAAAGCTGTGCCTAAGAGAACTGCAGTTGAAGTCGCCAGATTCTTTGTCCACGACATTGTTTTGCGTCATGGTGCACCTGCTGTTCTCATAACCGATTGCGGAGCAGCAATTACGGCAGAGTTATTGCAACAAGTCAACAAGCTGACGCACACCAACCACCGGAAAACAACAGCTTATTGTCTCCAAACGAACGGCTTGACGGAGAGGTTAAACCAAACACTGGCCGACATGCTATCTATGTATGTTGATGAAGAGCATGAAACGTGGGATGGAATTTTGCCGTACGCCACGTTTGCTTATAACACCGCTGTGCAAGAGACCACAGACCTAACACCATTCGAGCTGGTTTATGGCCGTCGCGTCACAACACCGCTAGACGCTATGCTCTCCGTAGACAATGACACCAGCGGAAATGACAGGTTTGACGACTTCGTCGAGAAAGCCGAGGGAGCCCGCCAACTCGCATGGAACCGCATTCGCGTGCAGCAAGATATCGACGCTCGCCATCACA